TATTTTTCTCAAGGGCTTTTCTCTGGTGTTCATCACTGTAGTGTATAAGTGCTTCACAAAGCTTATTTTCACAATACTCAGGTGACCTGAAGAGAGATTATCCCATTTTATAAATAGGGGACTGAGGCACAGGGATTATGGTCAAGGGTCTTATAATTTTGGGTGCGAAATTTGACATACAGCATCTGCTTTTGTGAGCTTGGCATTATGCGCTAGCACGTAGCACTTCGTATGATCCAAACACAGCGCCCATGGGCTGCAACTGTTGACTGCACAGCACTTCTGCAGATCAAACCCTAGCATCTCAAATCAGACATTCCAAACACCCAGTTAGTGACCACCTGTACAAAGTTCAATGAGTGCTTTGCCTAGCATCGCATAGGAACTCTCTGGCATGCTGAAGGGCCAGTAGTCTGGGCACTCATCTAAGAGGTGGAAGACAAGGATTCAAATCCCTGCTTTGGAGCAAAACATGACTCCCAGGAGGGATGCCCTAAACACAGGACCATTAGCTACAATCAGTGTGTGTCTGTCTGTTTTTTCACAAGGGCAGTTTTTGCTTAGGTGCCTAACTCCAGGAGCAGGTTTGTAACTGAATCCGTGAGACAGGTGCATAAGTCCCTTTGTGGATTTGGGCTGTAAGTCTTGCTGCATTCCTATAGACTTATTGGCTAGTTTAGGTAGTTCCTCCCTAGCAGGACTTTTGTGACCTTAGGTGCCTAACTCACCCCCTACAGTACAGAAGGAGCTGGGAGCCCTAATTTAGGGCTGTGCATTTCCCTGGCCAGCAGGACCCACCTGAATTAGATGGTGTAATTCCTAACTTCTCTCTCTGATTGTAGTCTTTATACCCGACAGTTACAGGTTGACTTATGCCTAGAAGCTTGAGGATTTACTTTTATCCTACTTAATGTAACACTGAATGTTTTCTTTAGAAATATTTTGACTCCTACTAAGCTCTTGAGCTCAATAGCTGTCAGTTTCACAGGTGAATTATGCACTCGGTAAGAGGGCAAAAAGTGTTCCCTTATTAGTTACGTTGATTTGCCTGTCATGTTACTTGAATGTTCCTTTAGTCTTGTCTTAGTACGGGTAAACAGAAGCTGCTGATTTACCTGTTCTGTGCTGTTATTTTATGTGTCTCATGTTTCTCCTCTAAACATTCCTACTCTTTTCAATACCTTCTCAAAGAAGTTTTTCCTCTTCAGCTCATGATTTTTGTTGTCAGTTTCTTATCCCCTTTTATGTCTTCCATTTTAGTGACAAGGACAGTATTCCAGCTAAAAGGCAATCCTATGGAGTTATAGACTGGCATTATATTTTTTGTTTCTCTGATTTGTGTCAGTTGCCTAAGCCTCTTTGGAATAAGTGCTGCTTCTTCCCAAACTCACTTACCAAGGATGCCCTGACTAATAAATGTAAACTTTTTATACCATCTTCAATAACTCTGAAATTACTCTGAGCAGACCCTGTATTTCTCCTGTGCAGTTCAGGAGAAACACTTTCTAGGCCCTCTTCTACCTTTGTGTGATTATTACTGACACATAGCATGAGTATGAGTCCTTTTGCCTACCAATCTTGAACGATCCTTCCTTCCTCACGGAAGTCACTGAATACTTCTCCTGGCAACTAAATCCTGTCCCCAGAACCTGCCAAGAGTAGATCCTACCTAAGGGGAGTCTACTCTCCATTCACCTTGGTCTCATCCTACTATAAGGACCAACTGCCTCATATTTGAAAGTTGGTTAGTAAGGTCTACAGTAGCTCTGGTCCATAATATTCCAGTATGTTTTCCTCTATATAATGGTTCAGATACTGTGCTGTAAGCTGCTGTACAGTAAACTTCCAATAAGCCGGCACCTTTGGGAGCCGGGGGGTTCCGGATTATTGGATATGCCGGTGTACCAGAAGGTGGGCTATGATGGGTCTGGGGCGGCGGGGGAGTCAGCAGGGAACTGCACAGCATGGACAGCACTCCAGCTTCCCCAAGTCCACCGCTGCTGAAACCGACCAGCATCGGACTTGGGGAAGCTGGGGGCAGAGCAGCTCCCATTGTCCGGCTGGCCAGAGCACTTCCGGGTTCCAGCTGGTGCCGGACTATCAGGAGTGCCAGACCACTGGATGCCAAATAACTAGAGTTCTACTGTATTAGGCTACGAAGTGCATGAGCTACCTGCACTAAGTATATGCATTTGTCCCTTCAGTACATAGCACTGCATCGTTGCTACATTCTCCATGCAGTAAACAAAGTAGCCCAGACCCTCAATCTCTGGAGTATTTTTTTAAAATACGGTGGCTGATACTGATATGCTTTATTATTTGACTAGAATGTGCCAAGCACCTCACTGGTGCTACAATAAACAGGCAGCAGGGAGTTTACCTCCAGGAACTCCTAACCCAAGGATGGACAGATAATACACAAGGGAAAACAATTACTGCTCACAGTGGTTACATTGTCTGCATGTGCCATTGCTGTTGAATGGATATTAATGTAAAGGAGGAGGCTGAAACATACACAGAACATTATTTTGAAAGATTAAAATAATTACTTGAAAAAAGCAGCAATGCATTGGCTCCTGTAAAGAAAATTCAAGATGCGACCCTAAAACTAATACAGGATCTTCAGAAAATGAAGTAAAAAAATGCCTTAGCTTGTTTGTATTGCAGATATTTCTTAGTGTCCATGGAAAATTAAATGTTAGTTTGGCCACATTTTCCCGTCTATGCAAATAATTTTTTTTTCAAGTAGATGGTTTATAAATCCAATAGTTTTGCAAGTCCTGCTTACATACAAAGTGTAATAAAAGCACAGCTTTTTACCACTTCCAAAATATGAGCATCCGAGGTAACTGATGCAGGAGGTCCTTTCCACTCCACCCGATTCTATGATGTAGACACCTCACCTTAACCTATGAAGTTTTGTCAGTTTGCATTTTAGCAACTTTTTGTTAAAACCATTCTTGCACACACAGACTCAGGGAAGAAAGTCTTAGACAGCATGATTTGAACATCTGCAGTTTGGATTCAATTTTTTATTTTACAAGTAATTAATAAATTATGTAATTAAGAAAGAAATACCCTCTATAGGAAACTTGTGCTCAATCTATTTAACAGTTGCTTACAATATTTAGGCACCAAAACCCATAATCAACCAACAGAAGACAATTATTCCATAGATTATGCCAAATCATTGCTGTACAGCTCCATTTTTGTTGATTAAATGTGATGCACTGGCAATTCCCTGCTTGGCTATGGAGCCCCAAACTAATAAATATATATATATAATAAAACTCCACTTAACTTTTTTTTAGAGCTTTATTTTATACAGTCAATAGGTCTCAGGAAGATAAGACCACTTCAGTTCTTTCTTTAAAATGGACCAGCATAGTTTGTGTATTTCTTCCACAAGGCACTAACAGCAGTGCTGGAACGTCATGGGGAAAGCAGGCACAGATTGTCTCTGGAGACTATCCAGCACTCTGTGAAATTAAAAACTTAAAGATAAGAGATGCAGAAAGGTGAAGGATGCCAAGTGAAAATGAAGCAAATGAATAGCAGAATAGAGATAACTGAATAGTTGCGTAACAATGATTTATCGGTTACACGATTATTCGATGGTCCCTGGAAGTGGGGCCAGCAGCCACTGTGCTCCCAACCCCACTCCCGGGGAGTCCCCTGCCACCCCGCACTGCTGCCCCTGTATCAGAGGCAGCAGCATGGCATGTCAGGTGGGTGCTGGCCCATAATGAGAGCCAGTTTAAAAACCAGCTCCCCAGGCAGACTAGCTGCCTGCCACACCACAGTACTACCTCTGATAAAGTGGCAGCAGCGCCTGTCCACAGGGATCTAATTCCCCTGGACAGAGGCTGCTGTGGGGCTGGGGAAGAAGGCCAGGGGAAGCTGCCACGAAGCAGCCTCTGGGTGCTAGTCCAGCAGCAGCTCCTGTCTGCTCGGGGGAGGAGTCCAAGCTCCTTGCAGACAAGGCTGCTCTGCCTCCCTTCAAGCAGCCTCTGTCTATAGATAGCCTGAGCCCCCTGGTCCAGCAGCAGTCTCTGTCTGCAGGAACTCAGACATCCTCCTCCCTCTCCCTCCCCCGCCCCCCCCCCATGGACAGTCGCTGCCTCATTCCACCCTGCTGCTGCCTCTAATAGAGGCGGGGAGGAGACACCAAGGAGGCCCTGATACAGAGGTGGGGTGCCTGTAGTTGACAAGATTAACCAATAAGCCAGGTTTATTGGTTAATCATATAGTCAACTACACATTTACATCCCTCCAGCAGCCATCTAGAGGAAGGCAGTAGCACAAGCTAGGAAAAGAGCTATCTACCTATACTCGCAGCTGTGAGCAACAATGCTACAGAAAACTGAGTCCTGGAGGAATGCTATGGTGAGCTAGAAATCTAAAAGAATGCAGCCTGTCAGTAGTGATCCAGTGGAGCAGCAGAAGTTGGTCAAGCTGTTTGCCTGGGAGAACAAGAAGCATACCTCCCCAGTATGTACATAACCATTAGGTAAACCCATCTGAACAACATTACTGAAACAGTGATGAAATCACCTAACCATGGCACCATTTGCCAAGTTAACCAGGACTGCCAAAATCTCAGTCCTTTGCCTCTCTGGAGAGATGGTGATAAGTCATAAAAGGACACAATACCCCTTATTCCCATTCCATTTATTCAGCAAGGATATAGAGGATGGAGGCGCTGACATTGCTCTAAACAGCAGCCAACATCTTTGCTGAATGATCTGTCTGCTCCCGCCACCATTTTGATTGAGGAAGGCTGTGAACAAGACGTGGAGGAAAAAGGGAGAACAGCAATGAAAGCTGAGCAAGGTGCTTCTTAAACAGCCTGAGGTGTAAACCACATAAAGCAGCTTTCAAAGATAGGCTGCGAGGAGAACAAGTGAAGAAAGCTCTCTCCTAGCATACACAATCCCGAGGTTTTTGGCTGTCTGAAGGAGGAGAGGTAGAGTCTTTAAAAATCCAGCTTTTTTTTTCCCCAAGAGAAGACAAAGATAGAATCAATGACTTGAAGAGGAGGAAAGAGAATTTAGTGCTTTGGAATTTAGTGCTTTGGTTAAGTTTGATCATTCGAGCAGGTGCTGGATTTATTTAAGCTTTCCCCACAACTGAAACAATGTGATTTAACCTTACCCATTAAGCCTCACTACCAGTCTGTGCATCTGCTGAGGGAACTGGCAGACAGTCACACCAGGCTGTACAGGGGGCTTGGGCATAGAAATGAAGATGAAAACCAGGTCATTTGAGAAGAATCAAAATTTGAAGTTTAAAAAACAGGTAGAGGCTAGTGTACTAATCTCTGAAATCACTTAAGAGAAGTGCTCCAAGCCATAGAGGCCCCTCAGGTTTTCTGATAAGAATGCTCCAAAGCCACTCATTTCTTCTAGATTCTCAGCTAAACCCACTCCAGCATCATCATACAAAATCAGGGGTGAATTTGGCACACAATCTATTATTAGAGCTGCCTATTTCTTCATGATGAAAAGATATTCAGTACAGCTTTCAATATTACAGGACTAATAGTACTTCTCTCACCTCCCAAACAGCAACAGGGCAGTCAAAAGTCCCGACACAGACTTGTGTTCAAAGTGAAACCTGCATATCTGTCCATCACTGGAACTCTTCCTTTCCATCCTAGTCGTGCTGAAATCTTTCTTCAGCTGGATTTTTGTCACTTTGGCTAGGAAGGTCTGGAGAGGTGGAAGTGTGTTTCTCAATCATTTTCTGTTTTCTTCTCTGTATCAATTTTCCACCTGTGAAGCCCAATATCCCACCACCAAGTGCAGCTGCAATTCCTGCCACTTTCAAGCCTGCAAGGAGACCAATAGGGCCTCCCACTACTCCACCGATGAGTGCACCTGCCACAGGCAGAGCTGCCAGCTTATATTTTGCAGCCTGTATTAAAAAAAAAAAAAAAAATCTGTTTAGAATACACACCTGTGGTGATGTGCATTTTCCCCTCATTACGCTTAGCAATATGCCTCTAATTCTCAGTGCATAAATAAGCCTTACCGATTAGTATTTAAAAAAACCCACACTATTCCACAGTAAGAATGTGCCATATGGCTTCAAACTTGAGCTACCCATATATGTAATGGGAAAACTGATCATTTTAATTGCTATTGGTTGGTTTGCCATATAAAATCCACTGTCTGGCCTACATAATTAAAACAAATGTAATAATCATAATAGGCCCAGAAACTTTTCAGTAATATGCTGCAGCTATATTTGTGGGTTATGTAGTATCTTAACAGCTTGTGCCCCAGGTATCCTTACATTTCAAACTCATTTGGCTCTTTATGAGCCAATCGTTTAACATTGCTGCCTGTTTTGGCAGGTATTCCATTGTAAGCAGCAGCAGAACAGCCTTATAATGAGGCTTTAGGCCAGAGCAATTCTCTTCTGGCAGACTGGATGTAATAGAACATTACAAGAGATTGATTTTTTTCACTACCTATGTCATTTCTTCCTTATTTCCTTAATTGCTGGTTCCCTCAGCATTAAAGAGTGCAGATCAATTGGGTTAATACAGAAGATTGCTGGAAGGCTGGGTACCATTGATTCATCAGCGGGAGTAGATCCCTACCTTCCCCAAGTTTTTGGTTCCCTCTTCAACATTCACAGCAGCACTGTTGACATGGTCTCCAATCCTGTCAATCTTCTCCTGCTGAGACTAGATGCAAAGGAATTATGAGTGAGGTGACCTGCTGGGAAGCAGCAGCAAGCCAATGCACACCATTTTAATGCCTATAATCAGGGCCCACAGCAGCTTTCATCTGCTACACACTGTAGCCATGCTGCCTTAATGGCAGTTCATTAATAGCATCTGATAAACCAAGCTGAAAGTACAAAACCACTTACAAAAAGGAATTTAACTATTAGGTAATAAAATGGAGTGCTATTATACGGAATATTGAGACAGTTAACAAAAGAGCATGCTAAAATATATGCTTATTTAATCTACTGTTATATCACTGGATGAACTTGCATCTCAGGGAAAAAATATCCAAACAAGCATTTATGCTTCATGATGAGTTTCATATTCAAAATAATTCCTTTTCTAATAAGAAAGGGTACAAGGGCAGATACACATTGTATTACACACAACATATAATTGATTAAAGAATCCAGAAAGCCATGTTTTACCTATGAAACTATGTTATGTTAACTTAACCCTCCGGATCTAATCTCACAAAGCTGAAAATACACCAAAATTGTACATCAACCTATGCTTTACATTTGTTTGACTTCTGCAAAAATGCTCCGCTTTCCCCACAGTCAGTCACACTCTTAGGCTATGTCTACACTCACGGCTTATTGCATCAGATGTATGCAAATGAGGCTAAGCGTGGAATATGGCCGAGCCTCATTTGCGTACGTAATGAGCACCATTTTTGCAGAAGAGGTTCTTGTGTCAGAAGGAGCTGCCTACATTGCCCCTTCTTGCGCAAAAAACCCCTCCTGCGCAATGCCGTTACGCCAATTATTTTCAGGATTAATGGCATTGCGCAAGAGGGGTTTTCTTGTGCAATAAGGGGCACTGTAGACAGCTCCCCCTGGTGCAAGAGCCTCTTCTGCAAAAATGGCAGTTCATTAGGTATACAAATGAGGCTCGGCAATATTCCATGATTAGCCTCATTTGCATACTTGACGCAAGAAGCCGCGAGTGTAGACATAGCCTTACAGCAGAACTTTCAGTGAGAAACTTCCCTCAGCTTCTAGTTGGAAATAAGATGCTTCTCCCCATCTCTTTCAAGCCCCAGCAAGATTCTGAACTCATTGCATCACAAAGCACAACAGAATGTCCCACAAACAGTTTAAAACAAAGTTTATTCTGGGCAGATCTCTTATATCCAGAGCATCTTAACCTTTCTAGTGCAATGGCTGAGCCCAGTTCTGTCAGACATGGTGTCATGAATGTCTGTGGCAAACATCCATGCCTTTCCATTACTCCTCTGAAGTACCAGGCATCACCGAAAATAATTTTTCTTCATTTAACTAAACAGCAGGTACAAGAATGGGTAGATTCTTTTAGCATGTGACAATTCACATAATATGCCACGTGTATAATGGGAATTGATAGTATTGTGATTAAGATGTGGGAATCAGGCACTGAGTTTAGAGTTCAGGCTCTGCCATAGACCTCTTGATACCCAGGGAAACATCTGTGACTTAGTTTCCCTGTTTCAAGGAATAGAGGTAATACCTTTGAGAGAAGTGAAAGTATTGAGATTCTTCGGTCATGAAGTGCTTTGAAATCCTTGGATGGAACATGTAATTCAACAGCAAGACACTGTCAATATGCATTTCATTCTACAGCCATAAGTCAGCCACACAAACTCAGCTTTCATATTCTCTGTCACTTAACAGAATCTCAAACAGCTGTGCTGACAAGATGGTATTCTGTCTCCACCTCTTCCTGCTCTCTCTCCATCTCGTACCTTGTTTCTTTTATTTTGACTGCTTCCCCAGAAAATACCACAGCATCATAGCATGCACAGGTGTGGCTCAAGTCCTGGTTTAGAAATAATGAAATTACTGGCTAGGACTAAATCTACATGGCAACACTATTTCGGGATACTGAAGTATTCCAAAATAGCTATCCCACATCTTAACAGCAAGCCCATTATTTCGGGCTCGCTATTCCGACATTCCTGTAACCCTCATTCCACGAGGAGCAAGGGACATTTTGGAATAGCAGGTTATTTCAAAATTTGGCGCTGTGTAGACTTTGCCAAATTACAAAGTAAGCTATTTCGAAAGAAGATCAAAAGAAGATACACAATTTGCATAGCTCAAATTGCGTAACTTATTTTGAGCTAGAGTGCAGTGTAGATGCACCTTAAGTGTCTGAAAATCCTGTAGGTATCACCCTCCAAAGGTTTGGAGCTTGTTAACTTCCACTAAAGTCAATGGATGGGGGTCAGGCCCAGGTTGTGAATGAGCAATGCATAATTTTTCAGTGGGAAAAAAAAAACAAGCGTATTGAGATGAGCACCCAAAACCAATAGTTTTAACCAATGACAATTGACTAGGATACGTGTTTGGAGGGCATCCAAATAGTGTTTCCATTCACCTGTGTTTACGCATGCAGCCAGAGGAAAGAGCTACTGACCACTAACAATTTACTACTGGCTTAACCTAAATTGCAGTAAGACACTAAAACCAATTTAAGCATTCTCATAAGGGGTTTGAATCAGGTTAACCAAAGTAGTTTCTAAACCCATATAAATTAAATCAGTGCAGAGTGACAGAGTGTGTGTGTGTGTGTGCACAATAACAGGTGGGAGTTGGAATAGATGGCACGTTTGTGCACACAAAGTTTCTTTCTTTTACAAGATGTGGTGGTGGAATGTGGGTGAAACTTCAGATCTTTCCCTGAAGACCTAAGTAAGCAAAACCACAAATTCTGTTCCGGGGAGACTCTTTCATCATTCTCACCACAACCAGAAATGCTGAGACTGTGTGGAAACCCAGTAAGAAAACTGTTGCACCTCCTGCTCTAATGTTTGTGCTCTCTAATGGTGAGTATGATGCAAAGGAATTTGGATTCAAAACTATCCCCATCGGTGGCTTCTGTGTTGGCAAAAATTAAGGATTATGGAGCAGCTAACAGTCGTTTCTTTGAACTAAGAGAAATCAAGACACAAAGAAAAATTGCCTAGACAGGATCAGAATCAACAGGGCTCAATGGTCAAGACATGTGCAGCATGAAAGCTGTTAATATAGAGAGAGAATAGCATTAGTGTTTGTTATTCCTCAGCAAGCTTCACAGACCTCCTCATGGTGAGGCAATTAAGCCTCTTAAGCCAGTGCTATTGAATGCTCTTAATTGCTGCAACCTGATGCTTGAAAACCAAGGGTGAAGATGGACCTACCTTAAAACTCACTCCTAGAAAATGTAATGTAAATTTTCATTCTGAAAACTTCATGAGGGCTTTCCAATATACTCAAGAGTGGATAGTAAAGCAAATTCTTTGCCCTGTTACTATTAGTTTAGATGATTAAAGGTCATTTAACTCCAATAAACTATCACATGTTCCTGTTCCTCACTTAACAAAATGGAAGTTTTATCTATTGACCTTAGGGACCTGATCCTCACACTACCGTTTTTTATTCTTCTTCAAAGGCTATTCTTAAAAGTAGAGTTCCAAAAAGGGACAGTCTGACTTCAGTGGGAGTTTAGATTTAAAAAGGAATGCAGAACCAAGCCTAAGAGTTTGGGTCTAAGCTTTTGTACTGTTCTCTCCCCCACATGCCTACATTATATTGAAATACATAAGGCTGTGTGCACATATGTATATACATATTATTTAAGATGGCTGGAAAGTGCCAGAATGACTTGGCATTCTACAGTATTTCTCCATAGACGAAATACAGCACAGACATCAACAGTAAAATCTTCCCTCACATCCCTGAAATCCTAATTAGGAGAGAGCATTCTGTGACTCCATTTGGTCACGTTCCATTTTTCTGAGGCTACTAACAAGGGCAAAATGTGATACAGACTTCTGTGCCCTCATAAGTGTGATAACTCCATGCTAGGCTGTTGAACAGCCAACTGTTACCAACTTGGTCTGACTTCAAATCAGTGACAAAAGTCTCCCCCCCTCCACCAATTCGTTCAGCCACCCAGTCCCCAGCCTTTGTCTTTATCAAATCTTTATCTAGAGTTTTAGATTAATACTTACATTGACTAGTAAAGAGAAGTCAGTCACCAGCTGGCTGAGTTCAATCAAATCCTACAAATAAAAAATGATTTCTTACATTTATTTGCTTTAAATAAAGGAACTTAAATGGTAATAAGGGACACCAACCAACCTCTTCTAAATTTTCCCATGATTCAGCAGCATTTTCATCCTGAGGAATTTCAGGGAGAGGGGAGCACATCTGGATAAAACTCTGGGAAGTGTCCACAGCTTCCATGTTATGACAAGGCTCTGAGTGAAAATATGGTATTTACAAATGCATTTATTCAATTAGAAAGCAGGCTGCAAAAAATGTCTTCCCGTATCTTAATATTGCTTGAGCATAACATGACAACTGACCCAATTCAAATCAAGCAATAGCCCTGAAAAGTTTATAAAACATCACAAATCTTATTGAAAAACTGTTCTTCCCCCCAAAAATATTACATTTCTTAGATACACTCTCCAGATCTACTCAGAAAACAATGATCAAATTATACCGCTTAATTCAGATTTAATTAATTTTGTATGAATTGCATATTTTAAAATGTAGCAAAAGACTAACACCTGGGTAAGCACTTCTTTATTTATATATGAAAGATCGAAACAATTTGTGAAATTAGAGCACTGGTTCATATAGTTATGGTTAATTGCACCACTAATTTGATGACTAGTCCATCTTTCCCACTTGGAGCCAGCAGGAACTAGGAAAGGGTGACTGTTGCAGAGGAAGAGCAATGAAGCCTTGCTAATTCTAGCAAGAGAGTAGAAGAGTATTGCTCAATGCAATCAAATAGGATAACAGCACCATGATCAGAACAATGGGCTTTTAAAAAACACAGTGTGGAAGAGGGCTCCTTAAATACATGAAGGGACTTCCCTTCCCACTTTCCTCCCCATATGCGCACACAAAAGAACACAGAGGTGGGACGGGGCATACATGGGATGGTATTGCAAGGAAGAGCTAGAAAGGTCACTTTATAAAGTAAGCTACCAGAACCTTGCCCATCTTTCTTATGTCAAGTGTACTTGTAAGTGATACAATGGAGAAAGAACAAGATATGCTTACAAAACCTTCATAGAAAATTCAGATTTTATTCAAAGCAATGATAATAGTGAACTAGATAATAGCAATAGTTCTTTTGTGCCCCTTAGTAATGTTAAGGTTTTTACCTTTCTCTGTAAGCCTTTTATATAATGTAATTGTGGAAATAAAACTAAATTAATACTTAGTTTTAAAAGTAGGTATGGCCCAGTCACCTGAGCACATGGCAGAGAGCTAGGAAACAGACTGGGATCCAACACTGGCCACAGGAAAGATGCTTAAGGCCCAGTTTTTCAGCGATACTGAACACTAAGTGGAGTTTCGAGTGACCAACTCTTCTGAAAAAAATCAAGCTATTTAACCTTTTGGTCTCAGTTTCACTGTATATAAAAACAAGGATACTACCAGGCTGGATAAAAATCAATGATTTTTTTAATATTTTTTTTTATTTTTTAAATAATAAAATACTATATTTATCATTTAGAAATAACAGTTACAATTAAATTTTATCACAAGCGTACTACACCTACATTTACAGTCTCATAAATATGACTTAAGGGTTCTAGTGTGTCCAGCCTAACAACCAGCTCTTGCTTTTCCAAGTTCTAGGCTTCTGATTTCTGTTTCACAGCAGACTAACATGCAAAGACAGACACAGGCTGCATAGGATTGTTTTTTTTCTGTGTTTATTTGGTGGTGGACCTGGGCCAAACATGGCACAGTTAGTTAAGGCATTAAAGACAGAGGGAATCAATATACAGGAAAGGACGGAGGGAGGCAGGACAAGAAAGGGAAGACATTCAGCACACACACAGCTTCCTATATTCCCCTCCACTTTTGCCACAGAAAAACTATCATGGCTTCTGGGCGTAAGAGAGACCCGATCTGGGAACATTTTGAAAAAATTTGTTCCCTGAGTAAAAAGGGAAAATGTGTTAAGTGCAAGCAAAGCAAGACAATGCAGGGCCTAGATGCAAGGATGAAACATCATAAGGAAAACTGCTTATTGGGAGAAAATTATATGGATGAAGACATGGGCGGTGGGTGACTAGTTTGGTAAGGCTAGGGACGGCAAGCCCCACACACCTCTGACTCACCAGAACCCATGCTGCCCAGCCTCCCCCCACCCCCCAATGTGCTGCTGGCCCTTGCACCTCCCTGACCCAGGGTATCACCCTCAACTTCCCCCAGACCACCTGAGGGTGGCGTGGCCAAAGCCTCCACCCTGGAGCTCTGGAGAGCCAGAAAGCAGTGCCGCCCCAATCCCAGAGTTCTGGAGTGCTGGCAAGCAGTGTGGCCCCTGCCCTGGAAAGCCAACAGGTGGTGTCGGCCCCAGCCTGCCCTAGCTCCGTAGCTCCAGAGAGCTGGCAGGCAGCACAGCCCCAGCCTTCCCAATCCTGGAGCTCGGGAGAGCTGGCCAGAAGGCATGGCACAGGGATGAGGCCGCGACACCCCAGACCAGCAAGGCCCTCCCTGCAGCCAAGCCACCAGCCCAGGCACTGGATGGCCAGAGTGGCCCTAGTGCTGGGAAGACAGGCAGCCCAGCTCCCAACTTGCCTGCCCGGGCCTCTGGTATCACAACAGCAGACTGGGGGAATGGATCTAGGGGAGCCAGTAGAGCATGGGTGGGACTAGGAGAGACAGTTTGGTAAGGCAGTGCCTTTTCTGCCTAGTATACCCACCACCCATGGATGAAGACGTGGCTGTGTCTGAAGAACAGTGTGGATCAACTTTACAATGCATCATTCTTTAAGACTCTCTCTTTCTCTATGCCTTTTAGCGTATGTGTGATTTAACACAAACATTCCCAACTTGTTTGGTATGTTGGATGTTGCTAGAAACAGAAGTTTAGCTTAGCTAATCCTTATGGCTTGTTTACTTAGTTAACTAGATTCAGAATTTATCACGGAAGTATACAGCACAGAAAGCTACAGTAAGAGAAATCTAGAGTTGCCAGTTGCCACTGTCATTTTCTTATTTTATATTATAGAATACACACCCCTTATTTTGGAACAGACCGTAATGGTGATGCCATAAGTCTATTCCCTATTTTACTTCATTGTAACTCAGCTTTACCAAAGGAACCTCATTCTATAGTTGTTTTCAAGATGCTTACTCCAAAAATTAAGTGTACTCGAAGCACAATCAGTCTTTGCTTTTTTGGTAACTTGGAATCAGATCTGCATCAAAATCACAGTGAGATTGGGGAAGAGGAGAGCTAGAAGTTTTAAGGATACTATACATGTAGTAGTCTGAGAACTTCTCTCAGAGTTAATACAATTTGAAAATTAAAAAAAGTTCAAGTACAACTGCCATCCAGCAACTCAGGAGACTGCTGTAACTGCAAATGTGAAATATTTATGTAACTTTAAAGACTTAGTTTAATAAAATACAAGTTCTATTGTGTTTGTGTGTGAGATTTAGTTCTTAACAATCCTAATGTACTGCTGCTGCATCTGCAGCTTGATACATTGTAATGAATATTATGTACTATTTCCTAAATTAATAAAAATTCAACTTATCTAAAAAATTGCAGAACATATACCCTCTTAGATGATGTAAACTGCTGTACTGAGCTGTAAATTAACACATTTTAGTGATCAGTTTTGCACCATTGTTTGAAGAACTGTGAAGTAGTATCAGTGGGAAACTTGATTTAAATCAATTCACCCTGGACACTACTCCTTTTCTTAGTCTACTCAACAGTGAAAGCTATACTAATCATACAACCTTGTGTGACACATCTGCAGCACTGTACAACTAAAGAATTCCTGTAGTGTAATAAAAAGCTCCAACAAAAATACAAGACAAGAACAAATACGTGCTATAAAGATCTTGAAGATGATTACCTCTGCCATATTATTTGCTTCAGACAACTCTGCAAAAATATCAAGGCATGTTATGGAGGGTAAAGTGTCAATTTTAAACCCTAAATTGTCTTGCTTTTGTAGTTTTAAAGAGAAATATCATTGATTAAATTGTAGAGGCATATAATCAATAAGGCTGCTGTATTAATTGTTCTTTAACATGTGCAAACAAAAGAGAGTGCATTAAGGCTTCCAGAGCAATATGCATGTTAATCAAGAATGTAAATAAAATTGCCTCCAACTTCATTTAGAGTATAAGCTCCTTGGAGCATAAACCCATTGACTATATTTTGTAAAGCATCTAGTATAACGAAGTTCTGACTTGGCTGAAACCACTACATACAGCAGTAATACAAGTCTTAAATAATACAATATAAAGCCACATAAGGGTGGCTAAAAACAGAGGTGGACAATTTAAAAAAATCCCTAGAAATTGGATCTTTTATTTCAATTAGATTTTTGCTGATTGCCTTTTTTTACATAACTTTTAAACAATAAATCTACTTCAAATCTGATTTTAAATTATGACATCTTACACGTAGTATATAATCCATTCAAATAAATTAAAAAATGGTATGTTGGTTATTTAGATTTTAATGATCTAAAGGGTATTGCTTTTTTAATTATTTACAAAATCAGGGGAAACCATCTAACTTTTCAGGTCAACTCAAAATTTATAGTACATCACAGGGGCATGTGTTGCATTAAGAATCCATATTATTTTTACTCTTCTCAATGGAGCACACTATTTACATTTTTCCAAATGTGTAAATACTTTCAGTTTCTGTTATATAGAAAAGCTTTTGCCTCAATCACTGCTGGTTTCAATTAAGGTAGCAGGTGCACAAAAAAAATTATCTTCCAGTGGACAGGTTCATTCAAAACTGAGAAAAACGAAAAGGGACCTGAAAAAGCAGGAAGGCTTGTTACCCTTTTCCAATGTATGAATAAAATCAGGAAGGCGACAAAGGATGTGCCACCAGATTTTCAAGGTATGTAGGTAGCAAAAGATGCAGCTAAGTCTAATCTCACTTTTAAAAGCCCCTCAGCAGGTTAGGCACCTGACTCCCATTGTTTACAAAGGCCAATTGATTTAAATGGTAGGTAGGGGTCTAGTGGCATTCTTTTGAAAGAAAGAGACAATGTGTTCACAATCTGTTATTTAAAGCACCCAAATACATTCAAAAATCTGGTCTATGATGATCAGAAACAATGTGGCAATTCACCAAAATTCCTGTAATAAATTAGACAGTTTCAAATGCAAAAAACAATGACTTTTTTACGTATCCAACACCTTTAAGGTTTCTTTAAGGTGGTTTTATTTAACGCATAAAAACAAT